GAAGAGATTGGTTCCTTTGGGTTCGGAGATGTGATACGAAAGCAGAGCATTATATCCAGAATCCGCATCCACAACCCTGATCTTAGCCACAAAGTAACCCGCTTCCGCAGAGTAGGGAATGCTTTCGGTGTGAACGGAGCCCTGGTCAGAATAGGGTGGAAGAATCCCAGGGCTGTTGTCATTCTCATCCAGGATGAAAACGTTTACAATCACGTTGCTGCTTAGTGGAGGGACACCAGAGTCTGTCGCCAGAACTTGAAACTGGAAAGTTTTTTCTTCCTCATAGTTAAAAGCCTGCAAGCTGTATATATCTCCAGTCGCAGAGTTTATGTTTATCATGGTGGAGACAGGGGCTGCTTTCTTGTTGACGTCCAGCAATAAATATGTAACCCGCGCATTTTCGCTTGTATCCGCATCATACGCAGAAACGGTTTCAATAAGCGACCCAACCGGGCTGTTCTCTTTTACATAAATGTCAATTTGAGAACCGGGAAATCGCGGCGCGTTGTCATTCACGTCAGAAATATGCACTGTAATAACACTGGTACTCGAGAGAGGGGGGATCCCCTCATCAGTTGCCGTAATAGTGACATTGTACTCAGAATTGCTCTCTCTGTCCAGGAGTTCATCAACTAACAAAGAGTAGTAGCTCTTGTAGGAGGACTGCAGCTTAAATGGAAGGGATTCTGCAATATAGCAAGTCACTATTCCATTTTTACCCCCATCTCTGTCCGATACCGTAATTAGAGCAACAGCTGTTCCGACTTTCGCATCCTCTCTTATAATGCTTGTCAGTGACGTGACTAAAATTTCTGGAGCGTTATCATTCACGTCTATTACTTCAATTAGGAGTTTGCTGTGAGTACTCCGAGGTGAAAGACCTTTATCTTTAGCTTGAACCCGTATTTCTAACGCAGAATTTTCTTCGTAGTCAATATTTCCCTTAACCATAACAGCCCCAGTGTCCGGATTAACTATAAATTTGTCGGATGCCTTTAATTTCCCATGTTCTAGAAATGAATACACAATTTCACTATTAATTCCGTCATCTAAATCCGTTGCATTTAGAGTAACTATCGTTGTGCCATATGGAACATTTTCTAAAACTGCAACCTTGTAAAGCGTTTTAGAAAACACCGGATTGTTGTCATTGATATCCAAAACATTAACAATGATCTGTAATGTCCCGGATTTGGGAGGCTTTCCTCCATCGACAGCAGTCAGCAGAAGCCGAATCACAGGCTGCTTCTCTCGATCTAAAGCTTTTTGAAGCACAATTTCAGCAAATGCACTTTGCTCGCCGTCGCTCTGCGTATCGAGTACAAAGTATTCATTTGGACTGAGCTTATAAATCTTTATCGCATTATTCCCCACATCTGCGTCGGCCGCCATTATAAGTGGAAATTTTTCACCGGGAAAGGCATTCTCAGTAATATTTAAGATATGGGTTTCTGCAGGAAATATAGGCGCATTGTCGTTCACATCTATAATATTTATTTCGACACGATAAAGGTTTAGCGGATTGTGCGCAATAGCTTCTAAACTGAGGGAACATTTCAAAGCATCAAGACACAGCTCTTCTCTGTCGATTCTATCATTCACAATTAATAGACCGGTTTTGGTATTTACCTCAAAATATTTCTTATGAATTCCCGACACGACCTGGAACATACGTGATCCCAGTTCCTGAATATTGAGATTGAGATCCTTTGTTATATTCCCAACAACAGTTTCCTTGTTCACTTCCTCCGAAACGGAATATACTAAATGACATCCATTTAAATCCAGGAGGCAAAAAAGCACCGCGAGTTGTATGCAAACCGAATATGTTTTAAACAAAAAGCCGGCCATGTTTAGATATTTCGGTGTTTTGCAATATCAGCACTTAGACAGAGATATCCCCAGCTTGACTGCTGCATGGGAATTCACAATTCATGTTAAAGACAAACACTGAACGGATCATTCTGGTGAAGGCCTTTATGGACAATACAGATGGCGCCGAGGGCGGAGCCCTAAGAGAACCACCTCCAAGAAATGCATGTAATGGTCAACAGTGACGCCCTGTGTTTGTGCGATATACACCATCTTTGTTAGTAATAATGTTACTACTACTACCATCACTGCGAATTCGAATACTATGCAGATTTAAAAGAGCATACAGGATGGTTATAGAATATATATGGATAGTTTCACTTTCATGGAAAGCAAATAATAGCAATTATTACAAAACAATACAAATAAAGAAATATTATTTATTATAATGTATTATAATATTATAATGGCCATTCTGAGCATTCTATTATTTTCAACAACATCAACAACCAGAGTCAATGACAGACAGTGATTTTCATTCAGAAATCAAAACACTCATATCACTCATATCTGTTTTGGTCCTTATTTCTCTTCTGTTTCTGAAGGAATGCATGGATTCAACAATGCCAAAAGAAAGCACTGAGTCCACTTCAGCAGAGTGGGGAATGCTCTTAGTATTTACTGAGAACTGGCCAGAATTGGCTGGAGGAATACAACAACTGTTACTATTCACGTCCGATGTGAAAATGCTCGCCGTCATGTTACTGCTTAAAAGAGACACATCAGAGTATTTAACTTGAAATCAAAACTGAAAAGTACTAATTTCATAATCGTTAAAAGCCTCGTTAAATATCTCAGTGTGAGAACTAACATTTACCATGGTAGATATCGGCACTTCCTTGCTTTTGCCGTCTCAGTATTAATATGTAAGCGTTTGCTCACGTCGGTATAAAATGCAGTCATGCATTTCATAAGGGCGCCTACTGGGTTCTGTATGGTAATAATGATGAGGCCGTACATAGATGGGCTCCACTCATCCATAGCTGTTATTGCCATATTGAGAAGCCTTTTCTTGATCAACAGGCCCATTAACTATTAAGGGGTAATTACCGTATGATGACTATAGATCTTTATCTACTATGGTTATCAGCACTAACATGGTTTCAGCTCCAGCATCCTCTTTAACTCATGAGTGAAGAGGATTCAGAGGAGTTGTCATTTATATCAACAATTTCCACCAAGATTTTACAAAGTGCATGATGTGTGGAATGTCATCGGTCTCTAGCCCGGACATGGATCAGCTACACCGGGTTTCCTCCGTAATCTAAATTCTTAGCAAGAGTGATATCTCTGGGATATGAATTAATTTCAACTATTTCAATGGGATTTAAACTTGCATGTGCAACAAAAGAATATATAATACAGGAGAATGCACTGTATGCAAATCTGCAGTACTCACTGGCAGAAATTTTGTCACAGATGGTAGGTTCTCAAAAATACCAACATCACAAACAGAAGTACTGAACATTGGGGTATTATCGTTTATCACACTGACAATAATGCATAATGCGTGAGAACCCTGAGGTTTTCCATTATCAATAGAAGCAGTAGGAGCTGTATTACAGATTGTTTATCTCATCTAAAGCTTTTGCGCAACACTAACTCCGTAGATATCCCACGCTCACCTGCCAATGAGAAGTGCTAAGCTTCTAGCCTTTTAATGTATTTCTGTCCATTTCAGGTTCTTTAACTATTTCAAGTGGAAATCTTTCTACCAAAAATGTGCACTCATCAAAATTAGACGCACTTTTTCAAGGAAATGCAGTGCATAGTCAATGTTGTCTGTAATATTTACTTCATTACAACAATGAGCCATTGGATGGTGCAGAATGGCATCGGCATCTAAGGAAAAGTTTGCTTAACTGGGATAAAGATCCTTTGTATCTATGCTTCTATTAATTAAATGGTGCCAATTTGTAAATGTACATTAAAGTAAGTCTTAGTCCCAGTGACAATCAGAAGTCCACATTCAGACTGATATCCTTGGTAATATTTCCAACAAAAGTACCATTTTCCAGTTCCTGTGAAATAGAGAGATAGATACCAAGACACAAAACAGAGCAGAATGACACACTGAACCCAAAAATACTCCAATAAGTCCATCACTGTAATGTAATTATCAATGACCCCAGTTAAGCTAATTTTCATAAAGCATTGGGTCACACATTTGAGCCTCGAACTAAATGCAAAAAGCAATATCTGGTGGCACGTCATTTTTCCATTCTACTCCATGCAGCAGCAAAAGCGTCACCTTAATTATTACGTATTGTTCTCTCACTTCTGTTGAAATTGATGGAAACAGAAAAGTTGATCACGATTCATATTGTCACAATAAAACTATAACAGATATTTAAAAAAACAATATAACTTCATGCCTGAAATAAAGAGAAAATTAATGTTCTTAGTTTTGACTGTCAACTCCCTAAAGACAGTTTAAGTTACCCTGGCATATGAATAAATCTTATAATAATTTATATAAAATGTATAAATATCACACCATATGCATTTCAAAACTAAGAAAAAAAACTAATATAAAAATTTAATTTTTGATAAACATTCATTAATATAAATTCTGTTTATTCTAACTATTCTGTCTTACTGTAATAAGTGCAGATATTAAAATATACAAAACCAAAGGCTGCCCCTGTTTCCTTTAGTTTTTTTGCAAAGTAAAATTTTCTGATCCCTTCATAAATAATCACCTGCTTCAGTCGTACAACACGTTTGTCAACAAGTGAGTACAGAGATTAAGAAGTTCCTACTAAATCTTACCTTCTCACTCATAGGTAGTGTTTGGTTCCGTTTAAAAGTGTCCGTGCCATTAATACTGATCAGATCCGCTTCAGCAGGTGGACATGCGACGGGGAAAACAACCACATCACTCTTCAGTGTATCTGAACTAAAACACACGTCATACTGCTGAGTGGATTTAGAGTAAGACCAGCTTCCGTCGGGGTGTGTGGTGATCGCTGGGGTGCTGTATCTGTTGAAACTGTTATCTGCTTTGTGACATTTAATTGCTATTAGACTGACGAAGCTCAGAAGAAATATCACTGAGACTGCTGCAGTAGCGATGAGCAAATACAGATTTAGAGAAGAAAAACTTGCATCCTTCTTTATCCGTTCTCTGGCTTGAATCGGGATTTCAACATTATTTTCAACCAACACAACATCGATGGAAACCGTTGATGAGAAGGAAGGTTCCCCACTATCAGAAATCAAAATAACCAATGGATGGGTCCTTAAGTCATTGTCACTCATTCTCCTTTTAGTTCTTATTTCCCCGGTACTGGTACCAATTCTGAAGAGACTGGATCCTTTTGGTTCAGAGATGTGATAGGACAGCAGAGCATTATATCCAGAATCCGCATCCACAGCCCTGATCTTGGCCAGAAAGTATCCCGCTTCAGCAGAGTAGGGAATGCTCTCTGTATTTACGGAACCCTGGTCCGAATAAGGTGGGAGAATCTGGGGACTGTTGTCATTCACATCCAGTATGAAAACATTCACAGTAACATTGCTACTTAATGGAGGGACACCAGAGTCTGTGGCCTGAACCTGAAGCTGAATTTTTTTAATTGTCTCATAGTCAAAAGTCTGCATGCTGTATATGTCCCCAGTGTGAGAGTTTACATTCAACATGGTGGATACCGGCACTCCTCCAATGATTCTGTCCAACAACAGATATGTGACTTGTGCATTCTCATTGTCATCAGCATCAAACGCTTTCACAGATTGTATAAGAGTACCGACTGGACTGTTTTCTTCCAAATAAACATTAATCTCTGGATTAGGAAAGTGTGGAGCATTGTCATTTACATCCGAAACATCTACGGTAAGGACACTGATACTAGAGAGAGCTGGAGTCCCCTCATCGGTAGCTGTGATTGTGACATTGTAACGATAAACACTTTCTCTGTCTAGTGGCCCGTCTACTATTAGAGAATAATAGTTTTTGTAAGATGACTGCAGCTTGAAAGGGGAAGCTCCACTAAGGTCACATCTCAGGAGGCCGTTTTTTCCGCTGTCCCTGTCTACGACCGAGATCAGGGCCACCACTGTTCCAGGCTGAGCATCCTCTCTAACTGGACTCATAAATGACGTCACTGAGATTTCTGGACTGTTGTCATTCACATCAACAACTTCAACTAAAATCTTGCAGTGTGCACTGCGGGGTGAATGCCCCCGGTCTTGTGCCTGAGCACGGATTTCATAGGCAGTTTTTTTTTCATAGTCCAAATCCCCAGTAACAGTAATTTTTCCTGTTTGAGGATGAACAGCAAAAATATTAAAATAACTGGAATCATCAAGCCCAGCAAAAGAATAGATTATTTCACTGTTTAGTCCTTCATCTATGTCAGTAGCATTAAGGGTTAGAATGACTGTCCCGATTGGAGCATTTTCAAAAACACTAACTTTATAAACCGATTTACTAAACACTGGAATGTTATCATTGCTGTCGATCACGTTTACAATTATCTGTAATGTCCCGGATCTAGGGGGTTTCCCTCCATCAACAGCAGTCAGTAGGAGCCGAATCACGGGCTGCTTCTCTCGATCTAAAGCTTTCTGCAGAACCAACTCAGCAGATACGCTATGCTCACCAGCGCTCTGCGCATCCAATGAAAATTGTTCGTTTGGACTTAGCTTGTAGCTCTTTACGGCATTACTGCCCACATCAAGATCTTTCGCTATGGGAAGCGGAAACCTTTCTCCTAAAAATGCCAACTCAGTAATATTAAATACTTGGAATTTATGAGGGAATGACGGCGCGTTGTCATTGATGTCTATTATATTTATTTCAATGCGGTGAAGAGTCATTGGGCGATTCAGTATCACCTCTACGTCTAAAAAACATCTTGGCAAACCGGGACAAAGTACCTCTCTATCTATTCTTTCATCGACATAAAGAACGCCAGTTTTTAAATTTACACCAAAGTACCTTTTGTTAGAGCCCCCGGCAATGTGCAGTCCGCGCGAATCCAGATCTTGTACATTTAGATTCAGATCCTTGGCGATATTTCCGACAGAAGTGCCCTTTTCCACCTCTTCTGAAACGGAATACGTAATCTGAGCCAGAGAATGATTCACGAAAACAAGCAGCGCGATATGCTGCCACACACGTCCTCTTTGTTCCCAAATGGCCATCACTGTTTGGATCGTCAGCAGTCTTCCGAGTTTTGCATATTATTCCTAGCGAGGAAACATTCTTGTGTTCCCCTTAAAAGTGTTTAATCTGTTTTCCTTTAGGTCTCGGCCGCCGGTGCTCCACAGACACAGAGTACTACTGCTTCAGCTCTCCGTGAAGCGCCTGCTTCTATTAAGGAGGGGCCTGTGTAAATCTGAAGAAGATGGTCTGCAGCGACACCGAGTGTTTGTTTCCCTAAGTAAAACTATTTTCAAATTAAATTAAAACTGCTTTCTTTTTTCATGTGTTATGAAAGATTTTTCATTAAAAAGTACCAATTTTAATTTCATTTTTGTAAATGCAGTAAGGCTATTTAATGAACTGAAACTACTTCATAAGCAAATAATGACATTATATTCCTGTTTATGTATATTATATCCATCCATTCATTCATTATCTATACCGCTTAATCCATCTGGGTCGCGGGGTGTACATTATATCGTATTAATTTAATCAGACTATAAAGAAGCACTTTAAAATAAAAAAACATTTATTACGTAGCCTATTTTTGACGTATGATGTAGAACATTTGTCATCTGGTTTTCTTTAATTTATTTCTTTCATTTTCCCCCTTTTTACTCTCTAATGATGTTTAATGTATCACAGCGCATTGGGACATCTCTGCCTGCCGCTATATAAAAATAAATTCAACTGAATTTAATTGAACATAGAAATGTGTACTAGCGATAATTTTCAACACGATTTTTATTATTGGCTTATATTATGAAATTTAAAACAGGTCTGCATTACAGTTTTGTATATGCATTACTTATCAAACAAGTATAATCACACCTTAACCTTAAAACGAGTGTGTTACTTAAGGACCTTCAAAACGTAGCAAATCGCTCCTTTCAATATTGCATTTTGGGTCTTCAATGTGCCACGACACAAATACAAGCAACCAATAAATAATCGTTAGTTATTCTTACCTTCTCGCTTTTGGGGAGTGTTTGGTTCCGTTTAAAAGTGTCAGCTCCAGCAATACTAATTAGATCCGAATCTGCCGGTGGGTAAGCAGTGGGGAAAACCAGGACGTCACTCTTCAGGGTGTCTGAACTAAAACACACGTCATACTGCTGAGTGGATTTAGAGTAAGACCAGCTTCCGTCGGGGTGTGCGGTGATCGCTGGGGTGCTGTATCTGCCGAAAGAGTCGTCTGTCCTGTGACATTTTACAGCTATTAAACATAAGATGCTCAATAAAAATATTACCGACACTGACGCAGTGGCAATGACCAAATAAAGATTTAAACTGCTAAAATTATTTTCATTTGTGCGGCGTTCTCGGAACTGGGTCTTTATTTCAACATTATTTTCGACAACTATGACATCAATAGAAACTGTTGATGACAGAGAAGGATCTCCGTTGTCTGAAACCAAAATAACCAAAGGATGGGTCCTCAAGTCGTTGTCACTCATTCTCCTCTTGGTCCTAATCTCCCCGGTACTGGTTCCAATTTTGAAAAGATTGTTTCCCTTGGGTTCCGTGATGTGATAAGAAAGCAGAGCATTATATCCAGAATCCGCGTCCACAGCCCTGATCTTGGCCACAAAGTATCCCGCTTCAGCAGAATAGGGAATGCTCTCTGTATTTACAGAGCCCTGGTCCGAATATGGTGGGAGAATTAGAGGACTGTTGTCATTTTCATCTATAATAAACACATTCACGGTTACATTGCTGCTTAATGGAGGTACACCGGAGTCTGTGGCCTGAACTCGAAACTGGATTTTTTTAATCTCCTCGTAGTCAAAAGCCTGCATGTTGTATATATCGCCACTAACGGAGTTTACATTAAATAATGTAGATGGAGGCACCCTTTTACTTTCATTGGGCAATATTGCATAAGTAATTAATGAATTTTCATTGACATCAGCGTCAGCTGCAGATATAGTTTGTATAGCAGCTCCAACTGGACTGTTCTCTTTTAAATAAACGTTAATTTCCGGAACTGGAAAGATCGGAGCATTGTCATTTATGTCAGAAACGAGTACAGTTATAACACACGTGCTAGATAGAGGCGGGGTCCCGTCATCAGTGGCTATGATGGTGACGTTGTACTCAAATGCGCTTTCTCTGTCCAGTTGACTGTCAACAGCTAAAGAGTAATAGTTCTTGTACGATGAGTGTAGCTTGAAAGGACTTGGTCCAATAAGCTTACATTTCGGAAGTCCATTTTTATCACTGTCTTTGTCCAATACTGTAATGAGAGCGACTACTGTTCCAGTCTGTGCGTCCTCTCGAACCGGACTCATGAGAGAAGTAACGGATATCTCAGGAACGTTGTCATTCACGTCAACAACTTCAATTAAAATTTTACAGTGCGTAGTTCGTGGTGAATGACCTTTGTCCTTAGCTTGTACACGAATTTCGAATGCAGCACTTTCTTCATAATCCAAATTGCCTTCAATTGTAATTTCACCAGTCTGTGAATTAATGCCGAACACATCAATGTGACTTATATCTCCATGTCCAACAAAAGAATACAGAATTTCACCATTCACTCCTTCATCCACATCAGTCGCGTTGAGAGTAAGTATTTTTGTCCCAGGAGGAACGTTTTCAGAAACAGAGAGCTTATAAAGAGATTGGCTGAATACCGGAGAATTATCATTGACGTCGATCACATTGACAACGACCTGTAATGTCCCAGACCTGGGAGGCTTCCCTCCGTCAATCGCAGTGAGTAGGAGACGGATGACCGATTCTTTCTCTCGATCTAATGGCTTCTGCAGCACTAACTCAGCTGATACACGTTTTTCTCCACTGCTCTGTACATCCAAAGAGAAGTGTTCGTTAGAAATCAGCTTGTAGGTCTTCACAGCGTTGCTGCCAACATCCGCGTCATTTGCAACTGGCAGAGGAAATCTTTCTCCAGAAAATGTAAACTCGGTAATATTCAATACATGTAACGTCTCTATAAAATAAGGAGCATTGTCATTGATGTCTATAATATTTACTTCAATACGATGGAGAATCATTGGGTTATTTAATATGGCCTCTATATTAAAGGAACATTTGGCTAATTTTGAACACATTTCCTCTCTATCGATCCTCTCGTCAACAAACAGAATACCGGTTTTTAAATTCACGCCAAAGTACCTTTTGCTGGAGCTCGTGACAATGTGAAGCCCACGTGAATCCAGATCTTGCAAGTTCAAATTCAGATCCTTTGCGATGTTTCCAACAAAAGTACCTTTATCCACTTCCTCTGCAATGGAGTATGCAATTTGAGGAACGGAAAGATCCACTACACAAAGCAGCGTAAAGCACTGCAGCCACATACGTATCCTTTGTTCAAAGAGGCCCATCGTCGAGCTCTTCCTTTCAGAGCCTTGCAGTGCACTTTACTCCCACGGATGAATCACACTTTCGTATAAGTATTTATTCTAACACAGTAGTATTTATTTGTCTTTCGTCTTTGCATATCGCACTAGTTTCATGCGCTTGTTTCCTGGAGGCGGTCATGGCTCTCTACGAGCTGCTTTTTCCTATAAAGGAGGGGGGAGTGAAGTACAGTTCAGCATTGATATCTACGGTCTATAGCGACACCGCGCGCTCATTTTAGAATTTGTCTTACGAATGTCACAATTACCCAGTAATTCTAACCAGGATAAGCGATAAGAAAATTGATCGATTTTTAAATGTATCCTACATTTAACGTTATGTTAGATGTGAGAATTCCGTTATATTACCGATCAAAAAACGAGATACATAACACAAAACGTTTAATAGAAATATCTAGAAAATACACTAAAAGACATATGAACATGATGTATAGGCAATAATCCTTTGGCGCCAACTCACATTTTTGACCTCTTAATTCTTCTTTTTCAAATAACACCCTGCACTTTTTTGTTAAACGCGTCCTGTTTCTTTCTTTTCCCCGCACAAGTAACGAGAGTCTCAATTATTACCCAAAGATTACTTCATCATTCCATCTAATTTCAATGTAAACTGAAAGCATAAGGGATTCTAAACCCTATTTGGAGAGGGGGGCTTGTGTGGGTGTTTTCGCCAAACAAGAACACACTCCCATTATACGGTCAATAAATCTTTATATTGCTATAATACTTTTTTTGTTTGTAATGTATATAAATGTAACGATATAAATATATTAAATTGCACAAAATCAAATGAGTGTGTTATGCTTTGTTAAGGACTAAACGAAAGTCACATTTGGCACCACAGAACAAATACAATGTGCTTTCTTTTTTACTATTTCAAGCATGGGTATATATGAGTATATTTGCCCTTTCAAAAAAGTGATTTGTGCTAATATATAGGGGGGTAGGATGATTCCAAGGGCTCCCGGGTGACAGGGGGCCTAAAAAATTGGAAAATAACTGGATTGGTCTGGACTGGGGGGCCCAGTATGATGTGCCTTCATGGCGCCCAAAATCTCTAGCAATGCCCCTGATGACAGTAAAAGGCACCTTTGAATATTATGTCAAGTACCTTAATATTAATTTTCAACACGTTAAACACAACATCATTTCATTTTACATTCTGTGACAGGAACCAACAACCTGGAATGAATCAGCACCATACTGATTAGTATCTGCTCTCAGGCAATCATGAAGTATGATTAAATATAGGAAGATTTCCAAAGAGGCCCAGCTGGAGGGTCATCTGTCAGCCCTACACACTCCAGGGACACAGAAAAGTCTGATTAAATGCTGGCCGCACTTGGGAGTAACAGAGACATGGCAGACAGACTCAGTGTTGATGGGGAATGCTAACTTGAATAATGAGGTTGGGCTCCAGGCCCAACTGGTCTGATACAGCCGACCTCAGCATGCTGCCCCCTGAAATCACACCTCCCTGCATTGGAATCAACCTAAAGCCCCCCACACTATTTCCTGACCTAGCACTTTTTTTGTGCTTTAATTGACAATAAACAGAGGGCTTACTGACACTCATGTGTGGAACCCGCAGAACCCTCAGAACATGTTCTCCACCACAGTTATCACATTTTTAATCCTACAACTAAAAATAACAACATTATGTTCCCCAAAGTATTCAGGTCTTCATCAATCCCAAATGATATACTGTTTTCACTCGTAATGATGCAGTAACAGTCAGGGGAGCTGCAATGAGGGAGGGGGGATTAGGATGATTCCAAGGGCCCCTGAGTGACAAGGGCCTTAAAAATTCAAAAACATCACTGGTGGCTCCCTTTGTAACAGTATTATAAAAGCAGTTTTAATTCAGTGATTAGAATTATTGGAATGAGATAAATAAACAGTGATGTGCACCTGAACTTAAAAATCTTATGCAAAACTGAAACTTTGCATATAAATATGATTTAGAAAGTCATACTGGAGAAATTAGCTTGTAAACAGATCCAATCTATTTGCAGTTAACAAAACTGTAACAATGACATTCTTACCTTCTCACTTTTAGGCAGCGTCTGATTCCGTCGGAGGCTGTCTGAGCCATTAATACTGATAAGATCAGTGTCTGCTGCTGCATGTGACACAGGAAAAACTACGACATCACTCTTCAGCGTATCCGAACTAAAACAAACGTCATACTGATGAGAAGTTTTGGAGTAAGACCAGCTTCCGTCAGGGTGTGTGGTGATATCTGCAGCAGTGTACCTGCAGAAAGTGTCGTCTGTCCTGTGACACTTCAATGCTATTAAAGTTATGAGGCTGAGTAAAAATATCACAGACACTGACACGATGGCGATGAGCAGGTACAGGTGTGAACTGGAAAAGCGATCCTCTTTCATTGGCCGTTCTTTAAACTGAGTTTGGATTTTCTCAATGTTTTCAGTAACAATAACATCAATAGACACCGTAGATGACAGAGAAGGATCTCCGTTATCAGAAACTAAAATGACCAACGGGTGGGTCCTCAGGTCATTGTCACTCATTCTCCTTTTAGTCCTTATCTCCCCTGTACTGGTTCCGATTCTGAAGAGATTGGTTCCTTTGGGTTCGGAGATGTGATAGGACAGCAGAGCATTATAACCAGAGTCAGTGTCCACAGCCCTGATCTTGGCCACAAAGTATCCCGCTTCAGCAGAGTAGGGAATGCTCTCTGTATTTACGGAACCCTGGTCCGAATAAGGTGGGAGAATCTGAGGACTGTTGTCATTCTCATCCAGGATGAAAACATTCACAGTAACATTACTGCTTAATGGAGGGACACCAGAGTCAGTTGCTTGAACCCTGAATTGGAAAGTTTTCGTTTCTTCATAGTTAAATGCCTGCAAGCTGTATATACTTCCAGTAACAGAGTTTATGTTTACCATGGTGGATATTGGGACTCGTTTGCTGGTGCTGTCCAATAGTGAATATGTAAGATGCGCATTTTCATTTGCATCCAAATCACTTGCTGTCACGGTTTGTATAAGAGCTCCAGCTGGACTGTTCTCTTTTAAGTAAAGACTATATTCTAAATGAGAAAAACACGGTGGATTGTCATTTATGTCAGAAATGTGCACAATCATAAAGCTGCTACTGGACAGAGGTGGGCTTCCCTCATCAGTAGCTGTGATAGTAAAATTGTACTGTGATGAACTCTCTCTATCCAACGGTTCATTAATTACTAAAGAAAAGTAGTTATTATAATTCATTTGTAATTTAAATGGAATATCATTAGAGATGTAACAGTTCACGATTCCATTTTGGCCACCGTCTTTATCAGTGACCTCCACGAGAGCTACAACGGTGCCCACCCTCGCATTTTCTTTGACAGGATCTAAAAGCGGCGTCACTCTTATTTCGGGAAAATTGTCGTTAGCATCCAGCACCTCAACGAGCACTTTACAGTGCGCGGCCATTGGAGGCTGGCCTTTGTCATTTACTTGCACGCGGATTTCAAAATCACTGTCAATCTCAAAATCAATAATGCCATTAACTGTAATAGTTCCAGTATGAGGGTCAATATAAAAAATGTCTAAAGTCTGGTCGTGCTCGTGTTTACTGAATGAGTACACAAGATCACCGTTTGACCCTTCATCCGCGTCGGTTGCATTCACAGTGATTACAGGCGATCCTGGTGGTGCATTCTCAAAAATACGAGCTTTATACAATGGGCGGCTAAATGCTGGAATGTTATCATTAATATCAAGAATGTTAACGATAATGTTCGATGTGCTGGATTTTGGCGGAGTCCCACCGTCTATCGCTGTTAATACAAGCACTATTGTGGATTGTTTTTCTCGATCCAGTGCTTTCTGTAGTACCAAGTCAGCGGACACACTATATTCTCCTCCCTGATGTACCGCTAGAGAAAAGTGATCATTGGGACTTAGCTTGTATGTTTTAACCGCGTTTTTCCCGGAGTCAGCATCATAAGCCCCAAGTAATGGAAATCTTACCCCAGGTAACGTGATCTCTGTAATATTCACTGTTTGAGATTGAAACCTAAAAGACGGAGAATTATCGTTTATATCCAAAACATTGATTTCGATGCGGTAAATATTTACAGGATTAATAATCATAGCTTCTACGTTAAGCGTGCACTTTGGGGCATTTGAACAGATCATGTCTCTATCTATTCTGTCATTAACATACAAAACGCCAGTATCTAAATTTACGTCGAAGTATTTTTTCTTGGAACTGCCGACAATCTGAAACATACGTGAATGAAGATCCTGCACGTTGATGTTCAAGCTTTTGGCGATATTTCCAACAGAAGTCCCCGGTTCTACTTCCTCGAAGACAGAATATGAAAATTGTGCAGACACAACGTCCAAGAAACATAATAAAAGGAGTATTAGATTCAGCGCCGAAATAAAAATATTCTTGCCGACAAAATGCATTATCCAGTCTGCCATGGAATCAACATAAACCCTTTACATTCCTGTCTTTGAAAAATCAACTAATTGTGTAGTAAATTATAAAGAATTATAATCATTCGAACAGAAAATGCAAAACATTAGGTCTCCGACCACAATTCCGCGTCTTATCTTTATGTGACAAAGCTACGCGTAATAATGTCTGTCCCTCCGAAAGAGGAGGAGTTGGGAGGAGCTGTTCTAAAACGCGACGATCTCTCTTAGCCGGTCATCAGGGACATCTTGTGGAAACGTCTAGAAAGAGCACTCATACGAAGATGAATATATAGTCCCTTACCACACGTTGCAGTGTAGTGACCTCGGTAATAGGTGGATGTATATATGTAATTAAAAAAAAAGTACTTCAGAAATTTTACAATTCACAACTTACCACCACAAAAGTACTGCAGCACCAAGTTATGAATTCTCGTTAACCGTGTCACGGATTCTGGAGAATCGTCATTAATGTCAGACACCACAAAAAGCAGTCACAAAACGATGATTTTATAAGCCTGATGC